TAATAACAGCTACCACTTTTTGATGCCCACCCTACTAGGCATATGACATATATTGAGTCAACTCTTCCTAACTCCCCCCGGTAGACAAAAGGAAGAAAATGATACCCAGGAGCTTGCCCAGAGCCACAGTGCCTGGAAGAAGCTGACCTGAATTCAGATCAGGTTCGCCTGACTCCAGGCTCATGATCCTCCCACTTCCCTTTCAGATCAAGTTCCAGGTGCAGACAGACAGGCAGGCAGGGTATCACCATATTCCTCTCTCTGTGCTGCTCCCTTTCTTTTAGACTATTTCAGACTCTTTACGGTCCGGGGTGAAGGCAGCAAGAGCCTCATGTTGAAATGATTAAAACGCAGTCCTCAGTATCTTTGTTCACACTCGAAACCTGATCTACCTGAGTTAAGGACAGTGGGGAATAACTGAACCAGTCTAAGCTCATAGACAGATTGATGCTGACAGTCTTGGGAGCAAGCTTCAGCCCTCCTACAGCCATACACAGAAGCACTCTATTTTTTGGCACTGAATTCCAGAGAAAAGATCATGATTGCCATTTTTGTACATTAGGCTCTCAGCAAGAGCGGTGGTCTTTAAAAATATGCACCCTGCCAGCAGACCCTAGTTTCAATCCTCCCAAACTGAATGGAGACTCGGGTAGGTAACATTGATGGCACTGCTGTGGGTTAGTTGGGTCCAGTGGAAAACAAGAATCTACATGCACAACCAGGTGCGCCAGCACTTCCAGAGAGGCATCTCAAAGAGTGTGACAGTAAGCCATCCTGACAGTGGACCTCGCGTGGATGATGCCTCCCGACTCACCAGCAGAGGTGGGCCCTACCTGCTTCAGGAACCCAAACAGATGAGTATTCTAGTCCCTCCCCTGACCTCCCAAACAAACTTCCTGCCAGGTTTAATCACATGTGGCAGAAGAATTTTCTTACTTTTTAAAATTTTTTTTAAAAGTTCATTATATGGTCCCTTAGGGTGTGGATCTGCTAATACAGAAGTCTATTTTACTTACTATACACTTCAGGAATGTTTCTACACTCTAGTGCAAAAGCTACCTTGACAGGACCCGTCTAGGCACGGGAGGAAGAGCACTTGGGAGATGATCAAGCTCCACTCCGTCACTTCACAAACAAGAAAGCTGAGTCCAGAAAAAGAGAAGCTGGCACAAGAACCTTGAGAACTATCCTGTTACACTTTTGCAGTGTCAACTGGTGTTAGGCTTGTGTTGGAAAATCTTGTACTTCTCAAGGTTAAAAGGAAAAAGAAGTATCTAAAATGCAGACACATTTGCTTTGGAAAAGGCCAACCAAGAGTCCACAAAGTCACGAAAAACACCAGTGATACCACCACCAATATCTGTTTTTGGAACAATAGAGAGGGATGTTTATTATTTGAAAGAATTCTCTTTGCTATCATGTAACTCATTCCTGCATGCTAGCTGCTCTCAACTGGTACCAAGGAAAGACTGCTAAATTATAAAGCTTGCAGACATTATCACTGCCCAATCAATATGTGTTACGCTGCAGGGAAAAATGATACACACCAAATCAGCTATGTGGAGGGGTTGTCATTGTTTGTCTCATTATTACCAGCTGTTTCTATTTTACTTTAAAGCCTTAATGACATTTTAATTCAAGAACTCACCAACCTCAGCAGTCGAATTGCTAAAAAAAATGCCCAAAGAATCAGCATGAGTTCCCAAGGAGAACCTACCAGGGGATCTGAAGGATGGATCACAGCACAAGTCAGGGGCATGGTGGAGCCAGAGGGCAGAAACAGGAGTGTGGGAAAAATGGAAGTTCCTATGGCCAGGATCCTCCCCTGAACCTAAACTACTTGATGGTTTAACTGGCCTGCTGCTAGGCTACAGCTTCACACCAGTAGGCAGTAACGACGGAGTCACTAGATTGAGAGCTCTGCCCTCTGGGCAGAGGCAGGGATAAGGAGGATTACAGACCTGCACACTGTTGGGTGCGGATGTAATTCTAGTGCTCGACCTATTGCCTGGAAAACAGGCCTTTTTACCTCAAGAATGTTCCATTGTCATTCCTTGGTCTCACTGAATCCATAGTGAACTTGCCCGGGGCTGAAGTCCATGGGCAAGACAAGGAGGACTATGGATGAGAGAGAACTTACCACCACAGACGGCATATAAGAAGCCTTAAGAGTGGAAGTGGACAATCCTGTAATTGGCAAAATATGAATGCTTTTTTTCCTACTTCCACTAACCAGTGTAAATAGAAGAAGATACACTAACATAAAATCATACTAATATCACCCTACATGTGTGTAGCACCTAAGAACCTGCCAAGTGTTTCCACCATAGTTACCAGACCCTCAGACAAAGCTGTAAGGAGGCAATGCCATCTCCACTCTGCAGAAGAGCAAGCAGGGGCTCTGGGAGGTCAGCGTTCCCAAGTCACATAGCTACTCAGGGTCAAGGCTGGGGCAAGAAGGTGGAACACTTCTGCACAGGAGTTTGGAAACAGCAGCAAATAATGCACCCCAAAATCATGTAGTTACTGTTGCCTCTGCTTCTCTGGGTTGACTTGTAAATATGTAGGCCTCAACATATCCAAAATGAACCTCAGGGTTCCCCCCACCAAAACCTATCATCATACAAATAACAGCTAATATTTATTGAGCACTTACTATGTGCCAGTAATAACACTAGGAAACAATTATTTATAATTATTTTATTACTATTTCTCTTCATCCCCAGCACCAACATCCATCCCTTCACCCCCCCCAGATCTCACCTGGTCTACCACAATCATCTGCTAATTGAACCAAACCTGCCGCAGGTCCTCCCTTCATTTTAAGTCCTTAGAGAAAAAAGAGGTCCTTAGAGTCATCTGCTAATTGACCCACAGCTGCGGCAGGTCTTCCCTTCACACCTGGGTCAAAACAAGCTTTTCAAGAATCAATTGTGTTCTCCCTCTCATTGCTTACATCCTTCAAAGGCTCCTAGGATAATGACAAAAAAACTCCACTGGGTCTCTCAAAGAGGGTCCCGCCCATCTCTCCATTCTCATTTCCCACCCTGCTCCTTACCCCCCCTTTGTCTTCTTCTGCTTCCTCATACTTACTAAGCTCCTTCCTAACAAGAGGACCTTGCAAATGCTGTTCCTTCTGCCTAGGCTGCTATTCCCTCAGCTCAAGCCCAGCCCCCAGTGCCCATCTCTCTGTCAAACCCCCTATCACTGCCTCTTGTGGAAGCATGACTCCCTCTGGCCACCATGACTATCTGGTTGGTGTCCATCCTCCCCACTAGGCTGCAAGCTCTGGGAGAGCAAGGGTAATGTCCCTCTTGGTCGCCTCTGTATCTCCTGGAGCTGGCAGTGTTTAACTCATGTGACTTAATGGAGAGTTCATGGAATACATCAATAACCCTGCTCTCTGCTGGAGTACCAAGAGCAAGGGCTGAAAGCTGGCTCCCAGTCCCAGGTGAGCCTTCCACCATGGCATGAATGCAGTAAGGATGGTGGGAGGCCACAAGGAGGTGTGGGAAAGGATGTGGAGTGGGCATGTCCATATCATGAGTCCTGATGGTGACCATGCCTTTGGGTGAGCATCAATGAACCGCAGACAAAACCCAGGTGCCTTCTGGCTGGAATTGACATCAACCTACAAGTCGTAGGGCTCTGAACAAACCCCATTCTGCCCACCTCCACTACCCCACCCTCTCTCACTGAGCACCCTAACTGCCCGTCCCCCACCCCCACCACCTCTACTCTGGCCTCTTGGAATCTATTATCTGCACAGCAGTTGGAATAACCCTTTTTTCTCTTCTTAGTTAAATAAAACCACGGTACTCCTCTGCTTAAAACCCTGATGGCTTCTTGTTGCCACTAGAATAAAACCTCATGCGCGAGGCCCTGCTGACCCTGGCAACGGGATGGGCTTTGCTCACTAGTGGACCCTCTTCCAATTCCTTGCCTCAGTGCCCTGACCGGCTGTCCCTCCTCATGGCCCCCACGGCAGCTCCCCCACCAGTCTCACCACACCTGCCCGCCCAGCCCTCCCTCCTCGCAGGTCCCAGCACATCACCTGGCTGTTTCTTCACAGCACTTACTACTGGAAAGGTTATTTATGATCTGTCGCATCCCGAGAAAGCAGGGGCTTCATTGTGCACCACATGGTGAATGTTTGCTGAACCAATGCCTCTTACAATATTAATAGCAAACAATTTACTGAGCCCTTCCCAGTGTCCAGAACGTGAGAAGCATTACCTCAGCCCCCAAAGAACCACATTTGCATCTTACAGCTGAGGGAAGTGAGGCACAGAGAAGACAATGGGACATGCAGGGTTCAAACCCAGGCACCAGCTCCGGTGTCTCCACTGCTGCCCACTCCACCAGGCACTGCCCCGTGTTGCTCTACTGGGTTGAGAGGATTTGCCTCTCACAGTGGACCGGAGCTCCCGGAAAGTATACACCATGTTTAAGTAGCATCAGTTTCCCCAGGGTCATGCACCCTCCTAAGAGGTTCCAGGTAAAATCTTAGGAATAAAGGGAGAAGTCAGGGAAGCCCTGGCTAGAAATGCCATGTGGAAGACAGGCAACACGGTGCCGAGCAGCACCCGCTGCCGAGCTCATCACCCCACTGCACTCAGGAGGTGGCCCTCAGCCGCGACAGGCCCTAGAAGACACCCCCAAAGAGCAAGTCTGCCCTACAAGGCCTCCTATTTCACCATGACAGTCATACCTGATTTTTAAAAACTCTTTTCCACCGAAAATCAAGCAAATGGCATTTGGAGGGGGTTTCCTCCGGCTTTTATTTTGGAAAGCTACATACGATTACAAAGAACTACTACTCAATATTTTCTACACGTTACATATTTACAAAGTCTTCATTTGATCCTTACGAGCCTGTGAGGCACATGCAATCACCCCACTGATAAGGGAGGCTTGGCAAGGGGAGGGAACATGCCCAAGGCCACACAGCAGCTAGGTGGGAAAGCCAGGCCATCCGACTGCAAACTTGCACACTTTACCGTAAAGCCATAAGCTGCACAGTTGGCACGATTCTCTCCAAATGACTTGTAATACTCAATGAAGGAGTAGCGCTTAGAGGCTGTAAGACAAAGGCATTCTTGGGTGAAGCATACTATTCCTCTAAGTGATGTTTTAAAATATCCTACCACCACTTGAAGCTCCTCTGGAGAGAAACTGCAGGCGTCAGCAGAAACCATGTAGAGAAGATCAAGATCAGCTCTTGGTAAAGAGAAGGAGGAGCGGAGTGGGTGAGTTCAAGCTGTGACTTCACAGAACCATCCTGTAAAGAGGAAGCTAAGCTGCAGACCAAGCAGCTAGGAAGCAGAGGGCCCACAGGAACCACAAGCTCTGAGCCTCACAGGACAACCACAGCAGCCAGACGGGGAGGAAGGAGCAGGCAAGATCAAGAACTGAGGGGCAGAGAGGCAATTAGCGCCTCTGTCCAGTAAGCGGGCAAGGGTACCCAGGTGAAGAGGAAACAAAGGTGGTCATCTAAGAAATATGAAGAGCCAAAGAGGGTTTGAGTATGGGCTAATGGGAGTGGAGTGTGGCAACGAAAGCATTCAACACCAGCCAACTGCTAACCAGGGTGCTCGGACACTCCAAGGGCTTTTGGCATTAGGCTACAGTGAGAGCCTGTTTCCATTTCTGTTTCCATTTTTAATCTCCAACTCAATAAGCAAGCTTTATTCTCTACAAGAGGCCAATATGAGAGCACCTCTGCATGCCCCTCAATGGGTCTGCCAAGCAGGTCATGGAGTCTGGACAAGCAGAAATCCCTGATCCCCACTGGCCACAGTAGGGCAGGTATCATTATTCTTCCACATTTGTGGTTTATTTTATCCTGTAAGGCACTGGGGGTTTACTGCAAGCAGGGCCACTCACAGCACATGCCCTCCTGTCTGTCCGAATCCTGCCATGTCTTGGGTCTCTGGCCTGGCCAACTCACTCACAGCATCTACTTGCTATGGTGAGCCTTCAGGTTTGCGACGCTGTTCTGTAAAAGTTGCTAAGGAGCTAGAGGAAAAAAGTGCTCCAGTGCCCAAATGTGCTGCTCATCTTGAACCCTTCCAAAAGGGCTGGCAAACTCCGCAGTCCACAGACACAGTACGGTCATCACGCCCAGCACCACAGAGACTACCAGATACTTTCTTTCCAAGCCATGAAGAGGGCACTATCTCAGAGCAAGTTTTTTATGTGAGAAAAAGAGAGATATATTTCCTGCATTGATTACAGGGTTCTTACATGCAAGGCTCATCATTTTAAAAACAACCAATAATCTGCTGCTATAGTAAATGAAGTTGAAAAGAGAAGCAAGAGCTTTGAGAAATAAAAGAAATACAAAAATAATCTGAGTCCTAAGAAAACCTCTCAGAAGAGGGTCAGTTGCAATTCCAAGGTGGGATCAGGTACTCTGTAGGAAACTAGTTGCGTGTGCATGCACGCGCACACACACACACCCCTCCTCCAGTTTCATGCAGACACTGGTATACAAGAACATCTTTCCAACACCACCAGCCTCAAGGACCTAGTGTTGAGTTCCCTTAAACATGGGTGCCCTAAGTTCATAAATAAATGGCCTTAGATGAAACACAGAAGTGTGCCCACCCATGTACGGCTGCACCATGCTGAACAGCCTACTCCAACTCACAGGCCCAGCCTGCGTTTCAGATCAGCCCATTCAACCACATGACATCCTTAAACAGGCTGTATTTCACCTGGGCTACCCCTGTGGTCTACTTAGGAAGGGGGAACAGATCAGTCTATGACAAGAACTGCTCAGAACACAGGGATCTAAAATGCCAACATAAAACCACTAACACTTTAAAGGGAAAGGGGACAGGGGTGCTTCGTCTCAAACACAACCTCAGCAAGAGGTGCACAGGTCATCCTTCTCCCTTAGGTCACAAGACAGGAAGAGGCACGAGTAAGGGTCACCATACTCAATGAATGGGGCTCTCGAGGATTTTCATGTAGGAAATGCAATATGGACCAGCATTCCAGACTTCAAGATTAGCTCAACAGGTTGAGGAAGGAAAGAGCGGGGAGGCTTTTAAAGGGTTATATTTGACCCCAGAAAGGCAGGAAGTTCCAGCAAAAAGGCTGTCACTCCATCCTAGTCTTGTTGGAAATAAGGCACAGCAGGAAAATCAAGCAAACCAAAGAGGAATTAGAGTCATTCACAAAAAGAGGGCCTTTGGGATTAATGGACTCTAACTTTTGAATTTCCTTTGGTTTCCAGCTAATTAGGCCCCTCGGCCACACTGTAATGTGATCAAATTTCAGCTGAGTTCACAGAACAGCCAAAGGTGGAAGACGGCACAGAAATCGTCACTGGGCCCCAGGGATTGCAGGCCAGGCCCACAGCACTTGCTTCCAGTCTTGATCTGCACTAATTAGGCACCTCTAATTCCCCAAACAATGGACCAGAGGGCACTGTGTAATCATCCACGTGTTCACTGGGGAGCTCTGTTCTTACCACACTACTTCGTGGTAATTCCCTGACTTGGTACAAGCATATATACGCACAACTCAAAAGGCAGGGAGAAATGACACTGAGTTCAACTAGCAAACACGTATGTGAACAAAAATATTCAATCCTGTTGAACGAAAAATTTCAATCCTACGAATGAAAAAGCAAGTACTATTTGTTGCTTATTAAATTAAAAATTAAGGGAAATTAAGGTTGACAAGGAAACAATAAACTGCCACTCCTATTGCTGTTGGCATGACACTTCTGAAAACAATTTGGCAGTATCTGTCAAGAGTTGTGAAAGTGCTCACGCTCTGACAGTATTACTCCAGGGAGTCCATCCTACAGAAGAGTCCAAACAAAGGAAAACTGCATAAAGGACCAGAGTCACTGGAATATTGTTCATAATGCAAAAAACCTGGAAGTAACATAGAGATGGGATTATCAGGGAAGTTACTGTTGTCTTATCTTCTCTTAAGGAGCCAGTAAGGAATGATGGTTATGGAGATTTTTTAGTAATGTAGAACAAGTCTTGTGTCAAATAAACTACTTTTTAGAGCAGTTTAAAATTCACAGCAAAACTGAGTAGAAGGTACAGAGATTTCCCATATGCCTCTTGCCCCCCCCACCCCGCTTCCCACCCCCACGCACAGCCTCCTCCATCACTGGCATCCCCTACCAGAGTGGTACCTTGGCTCTAACTGATGAACCTACATCGATATAACATTGCCACCCAAAGGCTTTAGTTTCCTTTAGGGTTCATTCTTGGTTACGTTCTATGGGTTGGACAAATGTATAATAAAGCACATCCACCATAGTAGTTTCACTCGATCCTCCCCCATCCCTGACCTCCGGCAATCACTAGCCTTCCTAAGGTCTCCACAGTTTGCCTTTTCTGGAATGTCAGAGTTGGAATCGCACAGTATGTAGTCATTTCTGATTGGCTTTTTTCACTCAGTAAAGGCTCTTCCATGTCTTTTCATGGCTCAACGGCTTACTTCTTTTTAGTGCTACTACTCCACTGTCTGGGTATAGCGCCATCTATCCATCACCTACTGCAGGACATCTTGGATGCTTCCAAGTTTTGGCAATTTTGAATAAAACTGCTACAAACATCTGTGTGCAGATTTTTGTGTGGACATATTTGCAACTCCTTTGGGTAAATTACCAAGGAGCATGATGGCTAGGCTATATTGTGTGTTCAGTTTTGTTAAAAACCGCCAAATTCTTCCAAACTGGTTGTACCATTTTGCATTCCCACCAGCAATGAATGCCAGTTCCTAACACGATATTTAAGTCCAATTCTGGAAGATGCAGGCAGGCCCTCCACCCACAACTATGTGGAAAAGCCACTTCTACGCTATAAATTCAAAAGGCAGAAACCCTTCACCCAGTGAGGAAAGCCAGGATGCAAAGTCAAACATTGGATCTTTTTTGTAGGAAGGTGTGGCGGGAAAGTTCTACCCTACTGGGTTTTCCCTCACTTCTGCCCACCTTTCCAAAGGCCTCCTTCATCTTCCACCAGGACCCACTTTTCCAGGCTAGCTCTTAGAGGATGTCTACTTCCATTTTCTGGCCTCAGGACAAGGCTAATTTTATTTAGTGAAGCACCCTGATTCCTTGTGCCCAGAAAACTGGATCTGAAGGACAGGAAGGCACAGGGTGAATAAGGCAGACTGAATAACTGTCTGTAGAGGTGGAACCATTTTGTAAAAATAAAAGCACATGCACAGAAGGTATCTAGGCAAATATGTATATCACACTTGTAGCAACATCTCTGGGGGTGGAATTAAGGGGTGGTTTCACTTTCCAAATGACACATTTCTATGTTGTTTAAACAGAATAAGTATTACTTTTGAAGTCAGAAAAACAGTAAGGAAATTAAAGTGTTTTTTAAAAGAAAGAATAGGAGATCTGCTTTGATTTACTTCTTTTTGAAACTTACTATGCCTCACTCAGCCTCCGAGCCCCAATACTTCATAGTTCCCATGTGGTGGAATTTCTTTATCCAAAAATGGGAGAAGGGGTTGGGAGGTAAACACCAGGTACTGGAAGAGCACCAGAGGCTGGGCCCCGTGCTGGGTGCTTCACCTGATCACTCACCTTCTGCTTGGCTGTAGAGTGGACCACCCCTTCAGAACAGCTACTACAGCCCTGTGCAGGCAGTCGAGGACTCTAGCTACAGATCCACGAACTGCCAGAGTACTGGCCTTGAGGAACCAACCCACACACCTTGGAGGGGCACTGGAGCTGTGTTAGTAGGGTATCTCATTTACTCTTCAAAACCACCCCATGAGGTAGTTTACTGAGATCAGCCTCCCTGTTTCAAGGATGAGAAAGGAGAGCTCTTCACCAATCTGAGTGCAAGCTTCCTAAAGGCAGAACTTTATTCGCTGCTGGGGCCCCTGCACCCAGAACAGTGCGTGACTCAGGGGAGCCCCCACAGTATTGCTGGCGGATGCGGTTATGACTCCTCACAGGCTCCAATGGGCAAGTGCTTGCACAGGAGCACAGGTCACCCAGCCAGCAACCAGCTTTAAGGCTGTAATCCAGGAAGCCTCGCTGCAGGTCACGAGAACTACTTGTAGGATGAAGCTCTGCCTTTT